AAGAACAATAGTAAGTATAAGTAACGTACTAACTAATATTTATATATATATATATATATATATATACATACATACAAATAGAAACTGCATGACTGATAGTTACTAAAGTACTTTGTGAAATATTATAATGACTGAATAGTTTAGTAAAAAACATATCTCTCTTGAACTTACTCTGATATTATTTTTGGATTTTTTCCTCACGTTAGATCCAACACGAGGAAAAAATCCAAAGAAACATAAGAGAACTAAAGAACAAAAATATTACTCTGATATTAGTAGTAAATGTGTTTTATTTTATCAGAATGAAAATTCTCTGTCATATGAGAGTTAACCGTTAGGCTTAGACAGCCGATATTACAAGAAAAGTTTTAAGCCTAATCTTTGCAGACTTCACCAGAAGTCATCACTTACCTTCACTAGAATAACTTTGGTACTCGTTCTCAGTCACAGATGTGTTTATATACACCTTCTAATCACGTGTCTCGCTAGAAAAGTGGGTCACGGGAGGGTGAACGTGCTGAAAATGCAACTGTCAAGGTGCATTGAGCTTTATGAAAGATTGGACGTCAGAAAGTGTAGTTTCACAGTTACTAACCGTCCAATTGTGCCATTCACCTACATTCTCTCGTGCTACTGGCTTCTCGGCTATATACACTTTCTACTGCATGCTTAACCGACACGCAAGTTAGAGGTAAACCCATGTTTTTAAAAATAACAGCCGATAATACTACTTAGTGTTTTAAACCCCTGATGTTAGTTATAAAAAAAGTAAATACCGAATTTATACAACCCTTAGTTCATCAATCTATTTCGATTCAAATTATACGTATATGATGAAGCTGAAATCAAGTGTACAACGTATATTAACACCTTTCCACCATTAGAAGCTCAGTTTGAGTTTTATTGCGTAAACTGTAAATATCCCCCCCCCCCAAAAAAAAACAAAAAAACAACAACAACAAACTTTTTGATAAACTAAGAGTGAAGTGTAAATGTTGGGATGACAAAATAACTTACAATAAACTACGTTTACACACAATTAGGTAGTGTGTTGGTATTGTAACTACTTTGAAACCAAAATGTTTCGACGACGAGGATGAGGGACGTATACGGATTTACAACACTAAAATCCTGGATTAGATTGTCGACAGAGTGCGGATAGTCCATGTGTGGCTTTTTGTTAAAAACAGCAACAGTTTTACCTAGTATGAAAACCGTCATTTTGTGAATGAAGAATCGGCCATGATGATACAGTTAGAAGTTCATTACTCACATTGTAGATTTAGCTAGCTTCTAGATTTATGTGCACGTGTCCTTTCTAACTTGATGTAACGAAGGGATTTTTCCAATGCACCAACTAATGTGTGAAAATACAGGATAAAGGATCGGCGCAATAAATAAAGTGTTGTGTGAAAATACAGGATAAAGGATCGGCGCAATAAATAAAGTGTTGTGTGAAAATACAGGATAAAGGATCGGCGCAATAAATAAAGTGTATGGTCCTTTTTCGTTTGATTTTTTTTTAATATTTAGAACTATATTTAAAAATCCATGAAATTTTCGGTGAAACAATTATTATACGTGCTTTATTTGGACAATAGCTAAAAACCACACCTATTTGGAGAAACAAAACCACAGCTATAAATACCTTAACAATAAAACATTTACAGCCATATACACCTCAATAACTAAACATTTACAGTTGTAAAAACCTTAATAACTAAATATTTACAGCCGTAAACTCTTAATGACTAAACCATTTACAGCTGTAAAATATTAATAACTTAGCCAATTACAGCCGTAAACTCTTAATAATAACTAAACCATTTACAGCTGTAAAATATCAATAACTTAGCCAATTACAGCCGTATACACCTTAATAATTAAACATTTACAGCTGTGAACATCTTGATAACTAAATATTTACGGCCTTAAACTCTTGATGACTAAACCACTTACAGCTAAATATACCTTAATAACTAAACATTTACAACTATCAATTGTTAAAGCTGTCTTTCTTTTTCACGAGTCATAAATTATTTTAAATTTAAATTTCAAACTCAGTTTTTGTATTTTTGTTTCAATACTTTTTGTAGCATTATAACTTTCTATATTACTCTGGTGAGCTAAGTATATGTCGATCCCTACTTGTCTTTACAAAATATTTTTTTTTATTATCCTTGTAATGTTTAAACGTTACAGGAAAAATAAAAAATAAATGTTTCTATTATGGTTTAAGTTTGGAAGCTGAACTTTCACGTTGTGCAATAAAATATTACTTTATTTTATTTTTCATATTAATATTGATCTGTTTAATTATTAATTGATTTTAAAATATATTATGAATTTTGTTTAAACTATTCTGTTTCTTCTTCTTTTCTTTCTTCTTCCAAATATTCTTCAATCGACCGCCATTCCTTCATTTCTCAGCGAACTGACTTGAAAGATGGTAGGATTATACCATTGTATACCTATTTAATTTTTTTTAATTAGGCCTTTTAAAGGATTTTTATCGGTTCAAAGGTCAAACAACCCCAAAAATGCGGTCAAATTTACAGTAATCAAGACGAAAATTGGCACAAATATAAATCTTTATGCGCCCAACACAATGACATACCCAAACTTGGGTTTGACCATTTTGAGTCTTTTTTACGAGGTTCACAACACCACGTGTTACTAGGTTCACAACACTACGTGTTACAAGGTTCGCAACACATGTTACAAGGTTCACAACACCACGTGTTACTAGGTTCACAACACCACGTGTTACAAGGTTCACAACACCACGTGTTACGAGGTTCACAACACCACGTGTTACAAGGTTCACAACACCACGTGTTACAAGGTTCACAACACATGTTACAAGGTTCACAACACCACGTGTTACAAGGTTCACAACACCACGTGTTACAAGGTTCACAACACCACGTGTTACTAGGTTCACAACACCACGTGTTACGAGGTTCACAACACCACGTGTTACAAGGTTCACAACACCACGTGTTACAAGGTTCACAGTACTACGTGTTACAAGGTTCCCAACACCACGCGTTACGAGGTTCACAACACCACGTGTTACGAGGTTCACAACACCACGTGTTACAAGGTTCCCAACACCACGTGTTACGAGGTTCACAACACCACGTGTTACAAGGTTCACAACACCACGTTCTACTAGGTTCACAACACCACGTGTTTAAAGGTTTAAAACATTTACCAATAGGACAGTCTATTAAAGTGTTTACACTGTTTTCAACAACCTGATGCATTATAGAATTTCCTGTATCATGTTCAGTGTTTGAATAAAAGAATAGTAACATCCATTAAACTATACACTTTATTTATTGAAGTGACGTTGGTGGTGGAATTCTGCTTCACATTTGGGTTTCAAGAAGTGCCCAGATAACACTTGACGATTGTAATGGCTAAGTTACGTCTCATTTTTGGTTCGATATTGAACAATTTTATCATTGTGAATTCGTTAGCTGTGTTTGGGAATAAAGTGTTCATTATAGCGTGTTTCAATCGGTTACAGTCACATTACCTTGCACTGAGATCTTAGACCCTAAACTCTTCAACAAAAAAAAAGCTGCCCACACCATCATACTGTTCCCATTATGCTTTTCTGATGGGTTCACTAGGTGGCAATCTCAGGGGTTGCGCCCCATCATATGAAGACTAGCTGCCTCGCAGGAGGTGGAGTAGAGTTTCTTTACTGATGTCACCCGTGGCCTTATGGCTGTTTACTGTTTTATTGATACCCCATCTTTTCCTCACTACACCATATGATACTTCGTTTTCAAGCAGTAAATACCAATGGTAATTGTCCATGGTTACCTTATTAATGTCGATGTTCTGCCAGCAGAGATTTGTAAATGTGTTATAGCCCAACATAACTGAAAAATTCGACATCTATAACTAAAAAAAAAGTATAATAACCTTATCTTTGTTTATAAACGCGCAGATTCATTGGTTAACAATTCTTAGCATTGTTGTTAGTATTCTGAGTCTGTTAACTTCTACTGCTGTAAAAAAATACATCCCTGGCTGATGGAATGTTATTAAAATCATCAAGTTTTATTGGACAAATGGAAGGTCGTATATCAGTATATCTCACCAATCACTTCAGTTGTACAAAGTTTTTAATATCATGTTGTATTACAGAGTTAACGGTATCATGTGGTGTTACAAAGTTTTAATATCATGTTGTATTACAGAGTTAATGGTGTCATGTGGTGTTACAAAGTTTTTTAATGTCATGTTGTATTACAGAGTTAACGGTGTCATGTGGTGTTACAAAGTTTTTAATGTCATGTATTACAGAGTTAATGGTGTCATGTGGTGTTACAAAGTTTTTAATATCATGTTGTATTACAGAGTTAACGGTGTCATGTGGTGTTACAAAGTTTTTAATATCATGTTGTATTACAGAGTTAACGGTGTCATGTGGTGTT